GTGTCCCCGGCCGCTGCTGAGGCCATGCTCCGGCTGCGCCTGCTGACCTGGGATGTGAAGGACACTCTGCTGCGGCTGCGGCAGCCCGTGGGCCAGAGCTACGCGGCCGAGGCGCGGGCCCAGGGCCTGCAGGTGCAGCCCGAGGCTCTGGGGCGCTCCTTCCGTCAGGCGTACGGGGCCCAGAGCCGGCGCTTCCCCAACTACGGCCGCGGCCAGGGGCTCAGCTCCCGGCAGTGGTGGCTGGACGTGGTCAAACAGAGCTTCAGGCTCTCGGGCGTGCAGGACGAGGCAGCCCTGAGGAAGCTGGCGGAAAAGCTCTACCGCGATTACTGCAGCCCCCACACCTGGGAGCTGCTGCCCGGGGCCGCCGAGACCCTGAGCCGGTGTCGCCAGCTCGGCTTCTGCATGGGAGTCGTCTCCAACTTCGACAGCCGGCTGGAAGCCATCCTCTCGCAGTGCAAGCTGCGGCAGCACTTCCAGTTCGTGCTCACCTCCGAGGCCGCGGGTTTCGCCAAGCCGGACCGGAGGATCTTCGAGCAGGCGCTGCGGCTCGGCGGGGCCCGGCCCGAGCAGGCGGCTCACATCGGGGATGATTACAGCCGGGACTACCGGGCAGCCCGGGCTGCGGGCATGCACAGCTTCCTGCTGAGGGCTGCCGAGCACGGCCAGGGGCCGCGGGTGCCCCCCGAGCACCTCCTGCCCACGCTCGGCCACCTCCTGGCTCGCATCGAGAAGGAGTAGCTGCGGTTCGGAGCTGCTCCTGAGTGCTCAGCTGGCCTGACCTGCCATTTCTTGCTGCCTGGTGGGCAGGGAACAGCAGCAAGTCCAAGCTGCCTATGGAGCAGGAGGAATGTTCATGCAATAAAACATTTCTGATGCCCAGCAGTGGAGCAGATGTGTTTCATTGCTCTAAAAACACCACAGAAGGTCAGCTGTGGTGTCTTCCCGTAACAGGGCTGGGATGGGGTCACTCCATCGGCTCATTCTGGTAGGAGATGGAGGCAGATACTGAGGTTTATCCCTTCTCAGTCACCCGGGGATAGGCTCAAGCATCCCCCAGAGCAAGTGATGGCCCCGTCCCAGGGAAGGTTTGCCCACACAGAAGCCCTGCCCGGGCCCTGCAGCCCCGGTGTACCCCAGCTGTGCCACCTCACCAACATGCCCCCCTTCCCAACAGTGGCAGGCAGGCAGGAGGTGCCTGCAGGTCTCCAGCTGTGGGCAAAACAGTCTGGAACTGGGCAATTTCACTTAATGAATTGCCAATTAACAAACTTGACCGATTTGGGTAGTGAGAAATAAAGATGACCCTTGAAAGATGATTTTAAACCCGTTTCTCTGGCTCAGCTCCAAGCCTACACCTCTCCTTCCTTGCCACCTGCTGCCATCAGGTCCCCTTGTTTGCACCACGTTACACTCAAACCCCACTCCCTTGGGGCACTCAGTTTTGGTTTCTTTCTGCTGCTCTTTGCATGTTCCCCTGCTTGGACACGGCCACAGCCCCTCGCAGCAGTGTCCCTGTCCCAGCAAGGTTCCCCACAGGGGACAGCCCCCTGCACTGTCCCTGCTCCTCCCCACAGCAGCTCCAGCTGTGCCCCTGTCAGGGAATCACAGAATCATTTAGGCTGGAAAAGGCCTTTAGGATCGAGTCCAACTGTTCTGCCAACACTGCCCAGGCCACCATTAAACCAAGTCCTTGAGTGCCACATCCACAGTGGCTTTTAAGCCCCTTCGGGGATGGTGACTCCATCACTGTCTCAGGCAGCCTGTGACAGGGCCTGACCATCCTTTCAGTGAAGGAATTTTCCCCACTATCCAACCTAAACCTCTCCTGGCACAACTTGAAGGCGTTTCCTCCTGTCCTTTCGCTGTTGCTTGGAGCAGAGCCTGACCTCCCCTGGCTCCACCCTCCTGTCAAGGAGCTGTAGAGCACGGTATGTCCCTTTCCACCAGCCTCCTCCCTGCCATGTCTCCATCCATATCTCTCACTATTCCTCCTCTTTTCTCCAGCAGAGCGGAAAGCTGCCTTTGGTGGGGCAGAAATCAAACAATTCACCTAGGAGCAGCTGGCCCAGCCAGCCATTCCCAGACCCCTCACCCCAGCACGGGGTGTAGACTCCGGGAGGAGAGGAAAGCTGCAGAAAAGAGGCGAGGAACAGGTGTAGTGTGAAGGCAGGTGTTGTGTGACAGCCCCTGGACACAGGCCACAGCCCCCAGGCACTGCACAGAGCACGCACAGTCACACCCCGCTCACAGCACCAGCGAGATGCTCTGGTGTGCCACGGCAAAGACGGGGTAGACGGGCTCCAGGAAGGCCTGGTGGTGGGAGAAAAGGATGGCGCAGGAGTCGGGGTCGTAGAAGAGCAGCTCCCCCCCTGCAAAGTCCAGCAGGACCCCGATCTCTGCCGGGGCCTTGATCAGCTCCACGGGCTGGGGCTGCCCCGCGTGCAGGAACCGGAATTCTTTGTCGTAGCGTGAGAACACCCAGGAGGCAGCGTTGAAGCCCAGGCGGCCTTCGTTGGCAGAGCCCTTCCTGGGCACGGAGCTGTAGCAAACCCCCAGCTTGTAGGCACAGCTCTGCTCCACTCTGACCTTCCAGGCACAGACCCCCGAGTGGAAAGGTGCAGTGGCCAGAGCGTTGGGCCAGTGGTCAAACCGCTCGGGGCAGTCCGAGTCCACCTTTGCTTTCTTGGGGCTGAAGGTCAGGGTTCTCTTGTCTTCTGACAGGCTGAGGTGGGGGCTCAGGGTTTTCTCATCGATGTGAATCTCCTGTGAGCCTGCAAGAGAAGCCACGTGGTGAGCAGTGACTCAGTGGCCACCAGCTGAACCACCTGAGGTAGTCATGGCCATGAGGAACACAAGCACAAGCACCTTCTCCTGGGGCTCCTGGGGCCCCATCTGCTCCCCAGGGTGACAGTGCTGGGGGCTCAGGCTGGGTGCCACAGCAAGGCAGACTCACCAAAACCCAGACTCACCAGGAACCTCCACCTTGCACTAAAGGCCCTGCTCATCTTCCTCTGACCCTTGCCTGACTCCCCACAAAACAGAACTCAGCAGGTTTGGTTCACCCCACTTTTGGGAGAGATCCAAACGTGTCCTTTCCCACCCCCATGGTGGGTGAACAGGACCTGGCTGCTCCTCCCCCAGGCAGGGGAGCCAAGAGCCTGGCAAGACTGGGAGGGCTTCGTGCAGAAAACCTGCAAAGCCGGAAAAACAGGACTGGAGAAGGCCAGGCAGGGAAATCTCTTTCCTGTTACAGAGCCTCAGCTGTTGATTACCCACCCTGAGGTGCTGGGAGCTGTGCAAGGAGGTGGCACCAGAGCTGAGCATGGCTGTGACTGGATCTGGCTTTGCTGTGAAAGAAAAGGTGCCCAGCTGCACAAAGCCAGCCAGGAGCAGCCCAGGCTGGCCAGAGGGCACAGCACCCACCGTGGGTCTGCACCACTTCAAAATCACGGAATCACAGGACTATCAAGATTGGAAAAGACCTCTAAGACCACGGTGCCCTGGCTGCATGCTTCCTTCCCCCTGAGACCCCTCTGTGGGTCTGCAGGCTGTGGAATTGCACAAGTGTGTCCTTCAGGCTCTAAATTTGTGAAGCAGAGACGAGGCTGATGCCCAGTGGACTCACCTGCTCCTGAGGAGACCAAGTAACATCACAGCCGGAGGAAAAATGTCTTTCCTTGCTTAACACAGCCAGCAACAACCAGGTGAACCGGTCCCAGAGCCTGTCAGTGGCCTGGCAAATGCCTCCAGTGCAGCCTCAGCTGTACAGCCAGGAGCTGAGCCAGAGCACAAACACCTCTAGAGCCACCAGCTCCTGCACAGCCACAACCTCAGCTTGTGATCAGAACGCTGCTCCATCTACTCACAGCTCCCTGGTCACCACAGGGAACCCACAGATGAAATCAACCCCACAAAGTCCCCAGCAGCCCAGTGCTAAACGTTGTGAACAGATATTCCTGTGACAGAGATTCCCACAGCAGCATCAGCTTCACTGCTGTCACCCAGAGACCCAGGAAAGAGCAAAAGAAACCATAAAACGTTAAAGCCACAGAGCTGATAAAGCACACAATCCTTTCAAACTCCAGTTCTTCCCTGAGCCACAGCCTGCTTGGAGCCCCCAAGTCCACCTCCCACAGCTGCTGCTGCCTCCCTGAAAACAAACAGGGAACTGCTGGGAAAGCAGAGGGGCAGGACACAGTGTCAGGAAGTCTGGACACAGCACAAGGGTGTTTCTCTGGGAAAAACTCGAGTGAGAGTGCAGGAATCCCTGGAGCGTGTGAGATCTGAGCAAGACACTGACCTGTGAGGCAGCAGAGCACAGCACAGGCCCACAGGCGATGCAGCAGTGGACTCTGAACACAGGTCTGATTAAAGTTTAACTTCAGGGACTCCTGTGGCTCCAAGATTCCCTCTGCCACCTCCGTCCTAGCAAAGGAAAACAGGAGTTGTTTCAAAACACAATGATTTATTGTGCTGGGGTGTTTAAAAGAGCACGAGGAGGTATGGTGGAGGTTAAAGATGAGCTCTGGCTGCAGAGACCACAGCAGGGCTGTCTGGGCCAGCTCTCACCCCGAGTGATACTTTTGGTTGGCTCTGCTTACAGTTCCTGGTGAAAGGGCTGCAGTGTTGTAAAACACATCCCAGCAGCCTGAGTCAACAGCTCCTCACTCAGCAGACACAGGGTAAATAAATGTGTCTGAGAGCAGCTGTCAGGGTACCAGGGGAGCACAATGAACAAACAGAATCAGATTCCCCTCCATTGCCAGAGCCCCACGGTCTGGGCACAGAGAAAGCCAGGACACCAGATTTCACCCAGCACAAAGCCAGGGGTTTGCTGGCTCCTGTGGGCCACAGGACATGCAGAACTCCTGGCTGTGAGGACAGGCTGTGGCACAGGCTGCTGGGGATGTGCTGTGGCACATTCTGTACTCTCCACAGGCACAAATACCCCCACAGTGCAGCCAGGGCCAGCACCCTCACAGCAGCCACAGAAATAAATTACTGAAATAAAACAAAATAGATTAAATAAAAACACAGCCACCAAGGTGCTTCCTCAGGAAGGGCAGCCCAGTGTCACTGTTAGGGCTGTTGGGGACACTGAGACCTGATCATGTTTCTCCCTGCTCGTGCAGAGCTGGGGAGATGCTGTGCCAGCCACTGCCTACATGGACCACAGACCATCCCACCTCCTGCCAACAGCCTGGCACAGGCCTGCTCCATCCCCCAGCAAACCCTGGGGTCTCCTAAGGAGCTGCAGTTCTCCCACGAGCATGGACTGCTGATCTGGGAAAGCACATGGAGCACCTCCAGCACAGCACATGGAGCAGAGACAAGAGCCCACGCCAGCATCTCTGTGCTCTGTCCTTGTCCACAACAAAAGCAGCACAAGGGACAAAAGAGGTGTCATGGGGTGCCTGAGTCACAGCACACAGCACAGTGTGGGGATGCAGGTGTGGAGCAGGAGCAGCCAGGTACTGACCTCTCGAAGATCTCTTGTTCTGCACGCTGGGGACAAGGAAAGAAAGAGTCATCACAGCTTAAATCCCCACAGAAGAAACCCCAAACACAGCAAACCCAGCACCCAGGGAGCAGTGTTCCCCTCCCTGACCCAGAGAAGCCACCCCTCACCCCAACACCAGCCCTGGGGAGAAGGGGGAGCACCCAACATCCATTTTCTTCTGCTGCAGCCCTTCCCACTTCCCAACTCAGAAAATGAGTGGGAATGGCTGAAGGCAATACATTGCACGTGTGGCTGGGACACTGCATTCCCCACTGTCCCCACCCCACAGGAACAGCCTGTGCTCCCAGCAAACAACCCCAGGGCTTTCAGCAAAGGAGGGAGACTGCAGAGCAACTAAGCCAAGAGTCAGGTGACCTCATAGCCAGTTCCAGTTGTTTCTGTACCTGCTGGGCTTGAGGCACTCTCAAGGTACAGCAAAGTGATAAGAAAATACCTGATCCCTGCTCAAATCCAAGCAGTGCACTTTGCATGCCTTCAGCTTTCCTGTGGCATGGCATGTGTTGATTCCAGATAGGAATAAGTACTGACAACCCAAGGGGGAGAACATGTGAACCCCTAATTCCCTTCCAAAAGGAGAAACTGAGGGTATGGCTGTTGTCTGTGACAGATGGATCCTGCTCTCCAACCTCTCCTCTTTATGGTGCAGCTACAGCCCAGCACACCGAGGTGCTGGGGCAGGACACGAACTGCCTCTCCCACCAAAGGAACATCTGCCCTCTTTCTGTGGGATTGGGTCTGTTGTCCAAGATGAACTGCTTCCCTCCTCACAAATTTACACGTGGGAAGCAGAGGCTGAGCATGGTGGTGGCAAGGCAGAGGTCCTGCTCACATCTAAAATGAGAGGAATCACTTGGGTGAACCCAGATGATTCAATAACCAGAGAAGGAACTGAGCAAGGGGAAGCACAGGCTGCTTTGCACAGCAAATATCCCTAACGGGAGTATGCCAGGCAACACAGGGGACTTTCCAGAAGAGCTACAGGTGTTTCCAAGGGTCAGTTCTGATTAAAACTAGGTATTAGAAAACGGGTGGCACAATTAACTGTTGTAAGAGCAGCTCACAACCCAGAGCTGTCCTGGCTGTCCAGCATAAGGGCAACTACAAGCCCAGAGCTTGGAGACCTGAACCTGGGTGGTTCTGGAGCTCATTGCAAGCAAAAACAGGATCCTGTCCACCTCTGCCTCCCTGCTGGCAGCACAGCAGCTGCTGAACACCGCATTTAAGCCCCATAACAAAAAGTGCAGCTCAGCTCTGGGCTGCCTGACTCACACTACTCACCAGCAGGCCCTGGTCATCCAGGTTGGTGATCATGTCCACCAGGTAGGTGCGGAGGGCACCCAGCTTGTGCAGAGCCTCTGTCCAGTGCACCTGCTGGGTGAGGATGCTCTGGTGCGCCCGCTCCTCCTCGGCATGGACCCTCTCCAGCAGCTGCTGCTCCTCGTTCTCACAGGCCTTCCCCACGAGGAGCAGCCTCTGGATCACCAGCTCCCGCGCCGCGCTGGCCGCGCTCTGCCACGGCAAGGACACGGCAGGAGCATCAGCCCTGCTCCAGCCCCAAGAGGAGCCCCAGCTGCTTCTGCCGGCTCTCCTGCAGCTCAGCCATTAGTGCTACTCTGTTAACTGAGCCCAGGCCACGGCACCTGGCACCACGGCAGTCCCAAACCTCCCCAGTGCCTCCTCAGCAAGGCCCCCTGCCTCAGTGGCAACCTGCAAGGGACCAGAGTCCTGTCCCTCAGCAAATCTCCAGATTCACTATTGGTGAGAAATAGGAGAACAGGCTGAGACAGCCGGGGGTGTTCAGTCTGAAAAAAAGATACCAGGGAGAACTTAGAACCTGAAGGGGCTCCAGGACAGCAGGAGGGGGACTTGGGACAAGAGCCTGGAGAGAGAGGTCAGGAGGGAATGATTTCCTGCTGCCAGAGGGTGGGGATGGATGGGGTATTGGGAAGAAATTTTCCCTGCAAGGGTGGTGAGGCCTTGCACAGGGTGCCCAGAGAAGCTGTGGCTGCCTCTGGATCCCTGAAAGTGTCTGAGGCCAGGCTGGATGGAACTTAGAGCAACCTGAGATAGTGGAAGGTGTCCCTGCCCATGGTAGAGGATTGGAACTGGGTGGCCTTTAAGGTTCCTTCCAACCCAAACCAGTCTGGGATTCTGTGATTCTATCTGACAGAATCATACCTGTCCTTTGTCCTCATTCTCAGAGACAGCAAGGAACAAATAAACCCAGGAATTCTAAGGCACTGATCCTAGTGAGATGCTTGACTGTTGTACGCTCACACCATTGTCTGTGCACATTTTTTAGGCAAATGAAGCAGAAATTGCAGGCACACCCTGGCACTCCATTTCCCCATCCCGAGCTGAGCATCCCTGCTGGGAATGGCGAGCAGGGAGCAGGCAGGGCCAGCCCCAGGGACTCACCAGGACTCCCTGGTCTTTGGCAGGCAGCACCTCATCCACGTGCCGGGCGATGGCCGCGCTCTGCAGCTGGAGCCGCTCGCAGCGCTCCACCAGCTTGTTCTGGGACATGGAGCAGCGGGTGATGGACGGGACCCCGAACCCCCTGCACCACCCCACAGCCACACTCATCCTTTCCCGGCCCCCTGCACCACCCCACAGAGAGCCCTTCCCCAGCGGGGATCCCTGAACAGCCCCGCACCTGCCAGGAGCCCCTCGCAGAGCCCCCATCCCCATCCCTGGCTGGGCCCACACCCGCCAGGGGTTCCTTTAGTTCCCCCATGGGAACCACCCACGGACCCCACACCCTGCCAGGGACCCCCACGGACCCCACAACCTGCCAGGGACCCACACACACCCCCACACCCTGCCAGAGAC